ATGTTCAGCAACAAGTCAAACAGTTTTATTACATCAAAAGAACCCCCATAAAATAAACTTATCAATGTCCAGAAAAAACCAAATATACTGAATGAATCAGTATTCACCCACAGTGAAGACCATGGCTAGGCATAAGGACAAGAGGAGCACACTATGGAAAGCAAAAATAAAAACCACAGAATTAAAAAAGAAACTACTTTTTATTGCAATGCTCTGTTCAATACAGTATATCCAAAGAGACACAAAGAATTAAAATGTAAATCCGTATCAATATTTTGCTGAGAAACATTAAAACAGCTTCAAAGTTGAATGAATTATAGCAGTACCTGCTCATGTCTTACTTGCTACCAAACCCCTGAAAACAAATTTCTGAAGAAGAAGATGAAAAAACCACGTATCAAAAAAGGGGGAAAGAAATTTTTACTATGTGCTTCAACGGGCTGAAATATTTACAAGACATTAGAGTTATGGATGTGATCTTTGAGGGATCCTCATACAAAACATGGTTTTGTTAACCGCAAGACCCAACTCCGCATCTTCACTGTACTGAAAATCATAACTCACATACAGGGCAATGTGCGGATTATCTGTGCAAGATTTTCTTTTGAATAAACACATGACATGTGAAACATGCTGTCAACCATCTTCCATGTTGTACTGTCTGCTTCCGAAGTGTTTGAAGTGAGAGCTTACAAAAGACATGGTCAAACAATACCTTTTATCATGGTGGCATTTTTATTCATTGCTTTATTCAGAATTCCTGGTGAGGTTTGTTCCAATGATCAAAGCGGTGGACAGAGAAGATGCTACAGGTGCTTGGTATGTATCTGTTAGAAACACAGGGCAAGGGAATCAGAACGGTTGGAGGGGTAGCAGATAAGGAAGTATGCAGTATCTAAACTATAAACATTATTCCCTAGCAGCCGTAATTTTCAGATCACTGTCAGTTCCAATGTCAGTGATGTCTTTTTACAACATAGTACCTTTACACATTTGTTCTCCCTCTATCCACAAACTAATGATGTAGACAAAACACACAGTTCGGTCCCAAGTACTGAAAAGGCTTACCAACAAGATCCCATGTGTTTGAAAGACAGAAGTGTGTTTCTGGGCATAAATTACCTAATAATCATGTTACAATCACATTTTGTGAAAATGCATCTTGAAATCAAACTGGAAAGTGGACTGATTGAAAAAGACAAAGAAAAAAAATCATGTCCATTGATTATTACAACCAGAAAGAACCATAGATAAAACAGGGAAATTTCTGAAAATTTTGTTCCAGAAGTTCAAGGATTATCACACACAGCAGTGTTGCTACTAAAAATGCCCCTGGTCATTCAAGGGGGTGGGGGGTTACTGACTTCTGACAGTTGCCTCATCATTGGAATTTTTTAACCCTATGTCAAAGCTAATATTTAGCCCATTAACCAAGGATGATTGTTTCCATAAAACAATGTTCATTCTGACCTCCAAAGAAATGTTCTGATAAAGATGCCAACATATTAGCATTATGGAATGAAATGGTGTTGGATGCTATATAGTGTGCATCTTTGGCATAGTCTGCTGTGAATTCAGTAAACACTGGTTAAATCATGGAGGATTTTTTTTTTTTCCAGATATAAAAAGAGGTTTTCTTGATGAAGAAATCAGCAAGTTCAAATTTCCTGACATGGTGTGTGCCATAAGAAGTTTGAAAAAATTGCTGAAAATGTTGAAGAATGGCTATGAATGAGGCATGTAAACTGGAATTGCAGCACATGACAGACATGGGCATTGCAAATGGTGCCATGAAATAAAACGGAAAAGCAGGTAGGGAGGATGAGAAAGGAAAACAACAAAGTAATGAGGGAGTGCACTACAGTGTGTTATCACCACAAGACTAGATGCGCCAGATACGGTTTGAACAGTGACATTACAGTTGTCACAAAAATTCACACCACCATAACACCAAATAATTCAGTTCAGAAAAACAAGCAACCATATAGGGTACTTTTGAAAACATGTGATGGTTGCGTGAAATACGTGCAAAGCAATTTGTAATGTTTCGTGAATGCACCAGAACTTGAAACGTGTATTTAATGTTCAAGTTTCCTGTTAGTAGAATTTTGTAACTTGTATGAAACAGGAAATTCCATTAGTCAAATTCCCAGAAAAATATCCATCAAAAGTGGCTCAAGTTGGCAGTATGACACATGGTAAAAGAAGTTAACATACCACTGATATCTGCTATCGATGTCATAGCAAACGATAACTCAATGAAGCTTGTTTTCCAAAAAATTTGTTCTAAATCCAACAACCTAACTACTGCCTTCAACATTCTTTAAAAAACTTGAAAGTATCAAAGCCAAGGATTTGAAGGAACAAACTGAAGTAGCATATTGATGATGGGCAGCAGAAAGCGTGCAACTTGTTATGTACCAAGGATCGTGAATATGCTGGAAAAACTTCAATATGAAAAGAATCAGGCCTACTTGAAATGTATCTGTACTTCCAACAGCATTATTTTAAGAAATATTACATTTTAGCTGTTTATTTAATAAAATGTACAGCAAGATTTTAAATCTTACATCAGATCTAATCCATAAAACCAACTTACATCAGCTGCAGATTTTATGTTGTACAATATAAAATGCTCTACATACAGGCCTTCACTTTACATCTGTTGATTTTCATAATCACTGACACTTCCTTTTGTGTATACATTCATATAAATGAATGCCCTAAAGTAATACAAGATGTTGTACCTTGGGACACCACATAAGCCTGTAGTTTACATACTGATTTACTAAAACCTGAATAGTTTCAGGTCAATTGGAAAATAAGTTTCTTCAGCCAACGTTATAAGTACTCAAACAGTGATAGGCTCCATTCATTTGAAGGGAAAAATCGATCATTAAAATTGTTCCAAGGTACAACTTCCTGTTAGATCAAATTTATGGCTGCTGACATTTTTACACTGGACAATGCATCATAATTTTAGTAATACAACATGTTTCTTGGTTGCAAATAATGTAGTCCATGATATTAATTTTTCACAAACCTAAATATGACATGGGCTAGTTCTTAAATGCAACAACATAGCATTGTAAGAGAAACGTCCAACATTTTACATTGACATACTGCCACCATTTTGTGTCCTAAGGTAGAGGCATGAATATCCTAAACTTGGGGGCGGAAGCTAAAGTGGTCATGGGCACTCTATGCATGCATTATTATGGCCTCAATTTTGCGATATTTTGTCTTTCTGCTAAAATCTATATATTATAATTTAACCTGACTTTATCTGTAAAGAAAAACGATTGATACAAAAAACTGAGATTTTTCTCTGATTCAACAGGAAACAAACATATAAATTCTGTCTATAATCGAACTTCATTTAATTTTAATTTGGACAAACAGTTCAGACACTTTAAAAAAGACACACATTATCTCTTAAAAACCAAATCATGTTAATATGTACCACCTGGTTTAATAAGTAACTCTGCATTCTGCCTATACAATGTACTTACAGTATTCATAAGAATCTCAGAACAAACAGTAACTATTTCCCTGAACAGCAAAAACCAACTTATATTCAACATGGTGAGCAGTTGTATTTTCTTTGCAGTACAGACTGGAATTCTTAAATATTATTTAGGTGAGCTTTGTATTCAAAGGGTTAAAGCAGGGATAACATGTATAAGAACATGCAGGTAATAAATAAAACTGCAACTTTCCTTCTAAATATGATTCCTGTATATACTAATGGCACTGTAACTGAAAAATTGGGAATATATTTATATAATGAGCACTCAGAAAAAATATAATACAAAATACAGTGTGTGGACTTGACAGTGATCGTTTACCAACATGTGAAGAGTCTACAAAACATGTATGATGTGAAGATTTCTGTCTTCTGGGTTGTTGCACTGTGTAGTCTGGTCGATGTTTACCAACATTTCAGAGGTCATGCTGCCTCCGTCATCAGGGCTAATGTTGCGAAGTTCAGAATGGTAAGAACTGAGGATGGGAAGAGCACTGCCTCTTACATGAATCGATGAGAAAAAAACAAAGAAAACAGTCAGGACACCTGACACTAGATGGCTCTCATTGCTGAAAATACTTCACTGCATTCAGTCACAGTAACAATTTAAAATCTTATTCTATATAAATAGAAAAATAACTTACTTGAACCTGTTTCTCCATCTCAGTAGATAAATTACACTGCTCAACATGTAAAATGTTATGAAAACGAAACTAACTGACCTTGACTAATTTTAGGCTGATGAACACGAAAATAAATAGAAAAATAACTTACTTGAACCTGTTTCTCCATCTCAGTAGATAAATTACACTGCTCAACATGTAAAATGTTATGAAAACGAAACTAACTGACCTTGACTAATTTTAGGCTGATGAACACGAAAATCACATTAAAATTTGTCGATTGGCTCGTGTTTTCGACCTATGGCTGGGGTCTTATATTCGAAAACACTATCTAGTGTCAGTTGTCCTGACTGTTTTTCTTTGTTTTTTTCTCATCGATTCATGTATGATCTTGTGCTCTTCCCATCCTCAATTCTTACCATTCTGAACTTCTCAACATTAGCCCTGATGATGGAGCCAGTATAACCTCTGAAACGGTAAACATCAACCAGACTACACAGTGCAACAATCCTTGAAGACAGAAATCTTCACTCTCACTGCTGTGAAAACCTCAAATCTTACATGTATGACGTGTCTGGGCACTGTCACAATACATAAGTTCAAACATTGTCTGCAGAACATCTGCCATACTGCATGCTCACACATGCCTAGCGAGCATAATTATTCACCACATTTTGCCACATTTGTCATTGCATACAATTTTTAATATTACACCACATGAATAGGCTCCAACTAAGTCAACCTATTGTAACAGCATAGCATCTATTAAAGGCCTAGGAGTTCAGCACATACTGAATGTGACTGCAAACAAGTTGGGGTGCTTACAAAAACTACAATTAAGGTCCATATCATTCACTTATTTCCGAAACTGTTTATTAAAAATACTAATACAAATTATGTTTCAAACATTAAATTCTGTGACATGTGTAACTCATATTTCATCATGAAGGACTGCTTCAACATAATCAGGTCACCCAGTTAAGAGTTGGTTCATATCTTGGCAGGTACATTGCAATATTCTTTTCTTACCACCTTATCCTGGGCAGCTTTTGACCCACCAGTCTAATGTCTACAGGTACCAGGGACACTTTAATCACCCTCAGCATGAATTTTACAGAGGTTAACCATTCCAATATTATCAATATCGATTCATGGCAAAATTCCTATGTATGCATGCATGCACATGGACAAAGTAAAATTTGAATGTTTCACTGTTACAAATACTTAAGTGGATTAAATTCAATTCGAAAATGAGTTTCTACATCACAAAATTATTGAAAACAAAGTGATGCTCAATGCGCCTGTGGATAAGTGAGACTTCTTGCTTCAGGAACAAGATTGAACACGCTGTACTAGAATATGCGGGTATGCAAATGTAAATGCATAATCATGAAAAAGTTAGGCAACTAAACGCACATATAAATAAAGGGGTTATACAAAAACACTTTTGTTTCAACACCAGGGTCTCCATTCAAATAAGGAGCACAAAATTCCACTGCAGTGTGCTACAGTCAATGTGTAATAACCAGCAGTAAACCTCACATTATGAATTTCACAAAGGTAGGATAAAATCAAAACACATTTTCATTCGCAAATGCAGTCCAAACATTTTACAGGCCATGGCACTTCTGATGAGTTTTCAATAAAGTGTTTGACACAAATGCCTTATTACACAAATGGCATGGATAGGGTCTCTGACCTGTGTGGTAGCGTTTGTGCACAGTCAATGTGGACAGCTGTGTGAATGACTTGCCACAGAGGTCACATGCATGTGGACGTTCACCTGTATGTGTGCGCTTGTGTACCTTCAGATAATCAGGTTTGCCAAAGCCTTTCCCACAAACATCACAAACAAAGGGTTTCTCCCCTGTATGAATCCTACTGTGTGCTTTAAGAGACTCTCCACCTGAAAGTGTCTTGCCACACACATCACAGATGAGCTGGTTCTCGCCCAGATGATACTTCCTGTGGATCCGAAGTGAGTTATTGTGCAGAAAAGTTTTACCACAGAACTCACATTGATAGTGCAGTCTATCCCTATAGTCTGGTTCATGCTTCTTCTTGTGCAATGCTAAGTTACTCTTGTAAGGATATGCCTTGCCACAAATATCACACTGGAATGGCCGTTCTCCTGTGTGAATCATCTTGTGCCTCTGCAGCTCCGTGTTAGTGTAATAACCTTTACTGCATACATCACATTTAAATTTGTATTCATTCAGGTGCCTTTTTTTGTGAACCAAAAGATTTGACTTCTGGAAAGTTGCATACCCACAAATATCACACACATGTTCCATTTCTCCAGTATGTGTTTCTTTGTGTTTCTTCAGTTCAAAAGCACGTTTATACTTTCTACTGCACACGTCACACTGAAAGGGCCTGCTGTCGGTGTGCGCAATCATGTGACTCTTGAGATGCCCCTTCGATACACACTCTTTACCACACACATCACACTTAAATGTTTCATGGCATTTCATATGAGATGTCAGTTCAGATTTACTGTCAAATTTCTTACTACAGGAATCACAGTCATGTTTTTTATATATTCTGTGTATCTTTCTTTGACGTTTCTGGACAGCTTCAGTGCCATGCCTACTTTTTTGTGTATCCAGTTTTTCATCAGTTTTTGAAGGTTCCTCAGGTTTGGAATTAATAATGACACCATCAGAATTTCCATAACAATGAGTACTAATTTCTTTTGCAGACCTGGAAAGAAGAAAAATCTTTATGTGCTACAAAGTTTATCCTCATGAACTAAAGTACAACTTCTTCGGGTAAACAGAATCAAACACTGATATAAACTATCAGCATCTAATAAATAATTTACAAATACTTCCGAATTCATGTGCTATATCTTCTCTAAGTAGACAACAAAAATGTACCTTGTCTTGTCCATGATCTAAATCACAGCATATGTATACTCAGGAAGCAAGAGAGGCAAATTCAGTATAACCCATTCAGCACAATTCTCTTACTCAATTGTGCATCAGAAGTTGATGCAAATTTCACAGACTATAAAAAATAGGTTCTACATTGCATAAACCTACTGGCACCCACTTTAGGGCTTAAAGCTCTCCTAAAGGACACTTCCTTTTTCAGGCACATCTAGCATGTAGCATTATTTTGGGAAAACCCTGCTGATAAATGAAATGTGAATGCATGTTAAAAGTTCTGAATTTTCAGCTTCATTAAAGAAGTAAGTAAAGTGTCCAGGTACACGCCTGTGTGAATCACAGAGCCCCTATCAATGGACATTTGTATTGCACATAAACGTTCAAGTTGTGTATCTATCACCTCATAAGAACCTATAGCTCATATACTTGCTATGCACCACAAAGACAAAAGTATAAACACTGCTGCTGCATAATAATCCTTGAAATTGTATGAAGTATGCATACATTCCAAACACAAAATTCCAACCTATTATCACACTTAAGCAGTTTACACTACCACTTCATATTTGAATAGTCCGGGCTGACAGACCAGCTATCATGACAGGTTTGCCACCCTCAGACCCCTCCAGGCAAATGCCAGAGCAACATCTTAAATTATGTCAAGACTACTGTTTGTGTCCTACCCAATTAATAAGTCACTAATCATCCAATCTAGTAACACTGACAACAATGTTAAATAAACCATAAATAAGTAAATAAGAAACTGAATAAAGGGCTGTTGCCATCCAAGAGAAACATTACACCATGCACTGCTCGGCAAACCTAACCCACCTCAATGAGAACAGGAACTTGTAAATGGCAGTCTCCTAGGTTGTTGCACCAGTTTCTGGTAGACATTTATTAGTGGTTCAATGCCTTCAGCAGCAGGTTGAAAATGCAACAAAAGCCAACAGTTTGCAGTAATGCCAAAGAGCCTAAGGTGATCAACACAATCAGAAGTATACTACAAGTCCTCACATCAAGAAACAAATTATTGAACATTAGCACAACCATGACTCTTCTGGTGAGATGTCAGTGATGTTTTGGACACGAAGGCTTTACTGCACACATCACATTGGTATGGTCTCTGCCCTGTATGGTAACGTTTGTGAATCACAAGTGTGGACCTCTGTGTAAATGATTTACCGCAAGTGTCGCAGGAGTATGGTTTCTCGCCAGTGTGTGTGCGCTGATGAATCTTTATATATTCTGGCTTCTTGAATGCCTTTCCACACATGTCACACACCCAAGGTTTCTCACCTGTGTGTATTCTAAGATGGCTCAGAAGGGAATGGCGTTCTGACATAGACTTCCCACAGACATCACACACAAATTTTTTTCCAGTATGTTTCTTAACATGTAAGTTCAATGATTTTCTGTATGCAAATGTTTTGCCACAAGTCTCACACTGGAATTTCTTCTCAAGTAGAAAACCAGGTTCATGTGTCATTTTATGCTGTCTGAATTCATATACATTTCCACATGGTCGGCTACATACATTACATACATATTCATTTCCTCCATGGTTACAATTCATGTGGCGTCGTAACTCAGCATTTGTATGGAATCCTTTGCTGCATATATCACATTTCACTTTGTACTCACCCAAGTGTCGCCTTCTGTGATTTGCCAGATCTGTCGACAAAATGAATGTAGCCCTACAAATATCACACTTGTGATCCTTCTCTAACGTGTGGAATTTCATGTGGCTCCTAACTTCATGCTTTCTCTTGAACTGTTTACCACACACCTCACATGCATATGGACGAATGTTACTGTGACTGACTTTATGGCGCACAAGCTGACCCATAGAAGCACACTGCTTGCCACAAATGTCACAAGTTATGCATGTCCCTAATTGCGCACTCTTTTTTGATGTTCCCAAAACAGAAGGATTTTTCAGTACAGTATTCAAACTTGTAGCAACTGATGAGGTAATGGAATGATTCAACATATTGAATGTGATTGGTGCATGCAAATTGTACATTACTGGAAGTGGTGCTGAGTTGTTCAGTATCAAGAACACTGGATTATGTATTAAAGGATTACTACTAGTCACAGATGCTGTATGAGGGTTTGATGAGCTCTCAGCAAAACAAATAGCAGAGGATGACTGATTCTCTGTATCATTCACAAACCTGAAAAGAAAGGAATATCCCGTGTACAGTAACTTACTCATCAACAGCTGTTTCTGTGATCATGGTGAACGGAATGATATGCACTGTCATACAAACAAGGGGGGAAAAGAAAACGTAGAAATAATTTACTTGCTCTCTTTGGGAACAGACAAGCCGCAGCATGTGGCAATAAGGCATTACACTGCAACAGCATACTGCATAACCAATGAGTAGCTCAAAACTGTCAAAACTAAAGTATGTGCTACAATTATACACAAATTATTCAAGCTGCCTGCATCAGACTGAACTGTACGGCACACATCATGACACATGCCAACAGCAACCGATGTCTAAAAATGCACGCATGTGCAGAACACTGTAATTTGATCTTCAAGGTATTCACTCCAAAACAGCCAAAGAATGAATAGTAACCAAATAATCATCAGTTACTCAGCACTGCATTAAAACAATGCAAGAAATATGGCCTGCAGACCGCATTGTTTGCACTGCAATTACTACATTACAGAATATAAAATAATGGTGTTCAATGAAAGTACACCACTCCCCGGATATAATGCCGTCGCTTATACCACAGGTTTGGATATACAGGTAGCCCTCGATTTGCGCCAATTTTGAAACCACAAAGTCAAAAAGTGAAAAAATATATTTTACTATTATTCATAACGTTTTACAATGTTACTAAATCGTAATTCTTACATCGCTGATTTTGATTTAAAAAAATAAATACAGTCACCTCTGCAGTTACGTATGTTTCGTTAACACGAATTTGCTCCAGTGAGATCGATGAATCAGTAAAAGCTGTTTGTGAAATGCAAACTTTTGCACATGCGAGTTTGCTCTTACACAATTTCATTCCTGACGCTTTAAACTTTCAAAGGACTAATTTAATCTCTGCGGAGGTACCGGGGTTATTTTTACTAAGCGATTTTCTATAGGTCGGCATCTACTTGGACTGCAAGTCTAACTGCCTGACACTGCCGTTGGAAAAAAAATCCGAAAAAAAATATTAATAAAGAAGTGATCAAATAAATTCCTCTAACGTTTTATAATTATCTATTGCTGAATGTTTTTTGTGAAAATAAATAATTTTTGAAAATTTTGTTTGTATTAACCCTACTCAAGTGGATTTTTTTGGTCTGCAGGTGGGATTTGAAAAATTAATGCACGGAATGACGAAAGAGAGCGCAGTAAATATTGCAAAAATGGTAGGACCTTCTTTTTATTATCAGCCTTTGTAGGATATTCAAAGGTACGATTCTGAGGGTATGCAGAACAGAATGTTAAAATCAAATTTCATTCAAATCCATCCAGCTGTTCTCGAGATGAATCAAATGGACAGGTGGATGGACACAGACATGACCAACCCCCAATGCATTCTCATTACACATTTTTGTGCAAGTGCATAACAATAAAGAGAAACTCATCCGCTAATAATTAAAAAACTTATGAAGAAAGCAGATTAAGAAAAGTGCTGCTGCAACATATATTATTAAAAAATCCTTACCCAGAATTAATTTCCACTGTAATATACTGTGTAAGCAAATCTTGCATTTTTCTGCAGCTCTGATCCTCAAAAGGGGGGCCCCAGAGAAAAGGTTGACTTTGAATACAACAAATTCCAACAGTTTTCTCCTACAATTTTTTTTTTCCTGGCCCTAAGATGGGCATTCTACTCTGGAAATGATGGGGAAGAATACCTTGGCACATGTCAAAACAGCTTTGTGGATAACAAATGAATAACTGCTGTGTATACTGTTAACTTTCTCTAGAAACTGGTTTGCTTTGTAAATATATACTATCATTAACAATTCACCAAGCACAAAAATAGGAACCATGACTACACAAGCAACAAATTATAAAGGAAGTTTGACATAGAGCCAATCATTGTATGACTAAATGAAAATGTAATATGAGTACAATACATTTCATTAAATATGGATATTCCATAATATACTATAAAGAAAGGTAAAATAATGTAATACTTCTTGGATGCATTCCCATAACAGTACTGGCTGCACATAAAATGAACATTAGTGTTTTCAGTTTAGTCATGTAACTTCACCTAATAATGAAATCTATACAGACTGGATACAATCCCAGAAACGAAATGGTAATGGGTTACCAAGATAAAGCATAAAAGATTTCAAAACATATGAAGCAATTACAATCTATCAGTAAATAAAAAATTCACAAACAGTAACACTAAGAGTAATGCAGTCACTGAATGCTCAACGTGCCATGGCACTTCTGGTGAGTAGTCAGCAGGGTCTTTGAAACAAATGTTTTCCTACACATGTTACACTGGTAAGGTCTTTGCCCCGTATGATAGCGGCTGCGCACCACCAAAGTGGAGCACTCTGTGAATGACTTGACACAACTGTCAGAGGTGTATGGCTTCTCACCAGTGTGTGCGCACTGATGAATTTTCAGGGCTGTTTGCATATTAAATGCCTTGCCACATACATCACAAACCAGGTGCTTCTCCTCAGTGTAAATCCTGAGATGTACCACCAAAGACCACCTGCTTGACAAAGACTTCCCACAAACATCAACACAAAACTGTTCCCACCGGTATGCATATTAACATGCAGAGCAAGTGAACTCCTGTGAGCAAAAGTCTTATCACAGATTTCAC